TTCTAAATTATTATGTAAGGAATGTAAACCCTAACTCTATTATCTCACTTTTGTATTTTATTTATGACTTTATCTTATTTAGGGTTTTGGGCCTTTACAGGAAGAAATTAAAAAATGGTGATACTGAATGTTTTAATTTGTCATTTGCTTATTACATGATTGTTGAATGAAGATTGTATGTTTTAAATAATGTATGATGGTTGATGATTGATGGTATGATGAATTGAATAGTTTGAGTAAAAAATTAATAATAGTGTATATTCACAAATAATATCATGAACACATAAAATAATTCTCATGAATAAAATAAGATCAACAAAAAGAAATATACATTCTTAAATTAAATTAGAGATTCTAAATAAAACTAATAAAATTAAAAACTAAAAATAATAGAAATATTAAAACATAAATAATAAATAAAATGATAACTAAATAAATTACAATAAAAAGAAAAGTGTATGATTAAGGGGAGTTAATGAGTTCTATAACGATGGATGTAAAGGTCCAAAGCTAAAAAGAAATGAAAACATTGCATTATAGCAACTATAAGTAGAAGCAATTTAGAATTTAGAGTTTACATTTTTTACACAGTAAATTAGTATGCCAAATAAGGTTACGGGAATATCTATTTTACAGCAATTCAGTAATGAAATAAAAGGTTACAGCAAAAGAAATAAAATCCTATGGGGTTAACCTGTACTGACAACTTTGACAGGATATGGGAGATAACATTTACTTACAACCTTCTTGCTATTTAGGATCTGGATATTAGTTTTCTTGATATGAAATAGTTAAATAAGATGATGAACTACACTAGCTCTGTAAGAATATCATACTAATCATTGATATGAAAAACTGAAGGTTGGTAAAAAAAATAATAAAACCACCAATGGGGCCATTTACTTTCTTAAATAAATTCATTTAACTTTAAAACTATTGTTTCATACTTACTCTTATGAATTTCAAAAAACAACGTGTAAATACAATAACTTGAATAACATTGAATTTCATATTCAAATGAGCAATAATAATAACCTACCTTCTTACCTACTTATCAGTATCTTTGGGGGTCTATAGAGATCCCCCTATGCGTGGACTCTAAATCCAAGTTATTGATTAACTAGCTGTCTCCATACATCATCTGGTAATGGTCGCCAAACATACCACTGTCTCAATACTCCGTCTGGTATGAAGGTGAATTATCCTCCCAACTCCTTCCGATATGGAACTTCTGAGCCCCGTTTGACTGAGATAATACCCACAGTAAAATTTTTTCTATGTACTGGATCCATTCACCATTTCTCAGGGTACCCGATAAGCCTTTCATATATAGATTTACATCATTAACCACTCATCAGCCACACACCAATATCACATTTTACCAATAAACAATAAGTCATGCAATAAACAACATGTAAACTAATCCACAGTAAGTCAAGCAATTTAGACAACAGGTAAATCAAAAAAACATAATTTGGACATTTATTTCGACAAAATTAACAGATGAGGATAACGCAATTCGATAAACCAATTTATTGAAAAAGTAATTAAAACTAGTAATTTAAAGCACACGATATAATAATAAGCATTTTAAACAGTATAGGAGCAAATAAATAACAAACTAACGCATAAATATACTAACAAGTTTCAACTCCATTAGTGACCTAAAATTAATTTTAAGGTTTTCTAATTTTCACAAAATAAGTGATATTGATTATTAAGCTTTAATCTACCATAACAGGGAGAAAGGTGAGGAATTTTTACTCCAGATCGGTATTCGAGATATTGTACTTTTCACTGCTTCTCCTGGTGGTCCCCAGGCTTTCTAGATTTTTCTTGCAGAAATTAAAAATATTCGTCACGTATCCAAAAATATCCCAAAAGGCCAAAATAGGTGTTTTAAAATTTTTTCGACTAGTTTAGGGTTTTGGCACAGTGTCAGTCTGTCGCCGTGTCTCTCGACCTAGCCATTTTCGGTCAGTTTTGACAAGTTTTGGCTGGTTTTGCATGGAAACTTGCGAAAATCAAGTTAGGGGGCATCTGTTAGCCGAAAAAGACAAAAATTGAAACCCTACTAACGGGAGGGTCTTTGGGTGCTGTGGCTTCGCTGTTCCTCATTTGCGATTGAGATTCTCCTTCGACTAATCTTCACTAGAAAAAGACAGAGAATACAACGATCAACAAATCGTGCAAAATAGGAAGCGGGAAGGAGGTCATTAGAGAGGGTTTTAGATTGCGGCAGTGACAGCTTGAACGAGCTTTGCTCATGTTTTTCGGCTCACCCGTCGGTTTTTCGGTTATCATATGGGCATAGAGAGATTCAGGATCGAATTCCGAGCGAGAATGGGGAAAAAATACCTGTTCAGCATGGACGGTGGCTCCGATGCAGTGGCAACGGTGACAGGTCTCCTTCTCCAAGGTTTGATTCTTTCCCCAACCACCCTTCTTCTTCTTCTTCGGTCACTCCTCTGTTGACTAGGTTTTTGGTTTCCTGCGAAGATGAGTTTAAATACACATTTTCATTCGATCCAGGTCATCCGTTCGAGTTGACGTGGAGCGAGAATAACCGTTCGATCGTTGCTTGTTTAAGCTGATCACGTGTTCGAATCAAGTCCATCCATAGCGATTAATCCTATCCATCCGATCGTATCTAAAGAGGAAACAAATCTAGGTCGTTCATGCGCGCGGGATGCGATCTAGACCGTTCGATTGCCCAGGCATGCAAATCGCCCACATGACCTTCCGCGTGGAGCCAATGTTAGCGTGTCTGCCACGCGGCACATTCTGACTCCCCGTGGTTGCTGATGTGGTTGTCCCATGTAGCCGTATTTTTTATTTTTTACGATTTTATCCCATATTTTTAAATTTTCTTTAAAAAACACCCCCTATTCATAGTTTTACCATTTCTTCCTAGAATTATTTTTAATTTCCTCTCTAATTTTATTTTTCTCAAAAATTTCACAAAATTAAAATAAAATAAGATTAAATTATTTAAATGTATAATTTTATAAATTATGAAATTATCGCATGCCAAATTTCCTAGGCCGGGTGTTATAATGGAAAAGAGACAAATTAGGAGAATTAGAATAGTGTAAGATATAAAGTAAGGTTAAGTAAGAAAGTGTACAAAGTCTCTAGGGAATATAATTAGTTTGGTAGGAAAAAAAATCAATTTTAACTAGAATAGGAAAAAAAAACAAAACAAAACAAAAACTTGGAAAAAAATAAAAATTTAGAGATAATCTATTTAAGATTGGTTTGGCTGAAATTCAGCAGTTTGGTGAACCCTATCCTTGGATGGATGGAAACCATTCCAGACGTGGTTTGGGTGTGTGTCATGTTTCGGATCACCGAACGATGAACTACTATGACCAATGTATGTTTTGACTGTGTATGCATCATCTTATGATAGTGAGAATCCTGATCCTATAATGATACTAATTAGATAACAAATTCACTCATTCAATCTCAAAGACAACTCTAAAACTTTTTAATTTGATGACTGTGTTCAGACAAATCGAGCATCGGAGATATTTTCTGAGGGGTTACGGATGTCTCGATTTGACAAAAAATTTGTGAAAAATTCTAGTATGTGAATTAAAGGAAAATTGGTAGATGAGTATAGTTTTGGAACCAGATGTGATGTGATAATAGTGTGAGATATAAGTGGTTATAATTAGGGAATTAAAAGAGGAAAAAAATGAGAAAAAAAATTTTAAAAAAAGGAATTTTGAGAGATAACTAGTAAAGGAGAATAGTAAGGGGAAAATACTAGA